ATAGTGTAATATGTCTTTCAAAATATCACAAAAACTGTTTAAAATCTTCAAAAAGCCGTCAGATAAATGTAATGTTGCAAAACTTTTAATAATTTTCATCACTAGTTCAGAAACTGACCTTCTCTGGAACCACAGCAGCCCCAGGGTTCCTCCCAGGCCGATCTCTGACTTAAAGACCTCGGTGATGGGCATGCCGGCGTAGATGAGCTCCTGACCTCTCTCATCACAGATGCTGGTCATGAAAGAGGCCGGCTTACGGATCAGACCCAGCTCCTGTACAGTGCAAGGACAAGAAAACAGAATGTTCAGCGTGGTGTTGTTTTCATCTCCTGAGCATAAACCCACTTCATAAGCTTTCTGGCTGCAACACTCACTCGTGCCCAGGAGTAATCCATTGGTACAGTGGGAGGAGGCACCTCTTCAGCTGGCTGAATAACTCCTTTGGCGACAAGGTCATCATACACAGATCTGCATGGAGGAAAATGACACATCAACTTAAAAATTACACCAAGAACCACTGACATTTTTTCTGGGCAGGGTAATCTTGACTGCACTGACTTGATGATCTCTCCCAGCTCATCGAAGCTCTTGGGAACAAAAGCTCCAGCCTCCTTCAGAGCCTTGTTCTTCGCCACTGCTGTCTCGGAGGCCTGGTTGGCACAAGCTCCTGCATGGCCGAACTGAACCTGAAGGGGACACAGAAGAGCAACATGAGTCAAAAAACTGATTTTAAAACAGCTGTGAAACTTCTAAAACTTGCTCAGAGGGAGTCCAAAGGCAAATTTGGATTGTTGGGTTCTCTGTTTAAATTTGTAAGGACTTCATCTTGCTATGCTAAGCGTTATGTGATGACATGTTGTAAACTGCGTTATACAAACAAAATTGAATTGAATGTTAGGGTTTGTTTTGATGTCCATAAAATGAATAATCAGATATCCAGGAGCAAAAAACTGACTCCACATTGGTACCTCTGAGGAGAACATGGTTGCACAGGTGCCGATACACCAGCACACCACCGGCTTCGTGATCCTGCCTTGTTTAATAGCCTGGCAGATCTTGTACTCCTCAGTGCCGCCGATCTGTCAAAAACAGGTAAGATGTAGGAATAAATATCTGTTCAAAGCATCAGGCAGTAAAGTGTGGAGGTTTGTTCCTCACCTCTCCCAGCACAACAATCATCTTCACTCCAGGAGTGTCTTGGTAGCGCAGCACATGGTCAGTGAACACTGAGCCTGGATATCTGCAGGAGGACAGTCCAGATTTATGCACCAGTTCAAAATCACAGGGAGTAATTCTGTAAATAAAAAAATGAAACCGTTGCATACCTGTCTCCACCGATGGCCACGCCTTCAAAAACGCCATCAGTGGTGCGGGAGATGATATTGTTGAGTTCATTGGACATGCCTCCTGAGCGGGACACGTAGGCCACGCTGCCCGGACGGTAGAGCTTAGAGGCGAGGATGTTATCCAGCATTCCTCCTGTGTTCCCGATCTTGAAGCAACCCGGCTTGATTCCTCCGACCTGGATAAAAAAACAAACACAAAAGTTTGGGGTTTTTTTCCCCTGACAGCAACAACAAAGTGAAATCCAGAGAAATCTTCTGAAGCAAGACTAACAGTCGCCGGTCCGATGATCGTGATGCCCTTCTCATCGGCCGCCTTGATGATCCGCCTGGTGTGGGCTTCTGGGATTCCCTCAGCAATGATGGCAATGGTGTGAATCTGAAAGCAAATAAAAAGGAAGCTTTAGAAACCTTTAAGAAGAGGTGTAGTTCTTTAAAAAGAATGAAGAATTATTGATATAAACTGAAATTAAGCATTTCATAGGGAAGAATTTTCTAAGTGCACTGTCCAGCCCGAGTGGAACCAATTGGTACATCGTTCAACATCACTGGTGATGCTGCTGCCAGAGGAAAGACATTTGTCAAATCAACCCCCACTGATGTCAGAAAAACTAATCAACATTGCAAATTAGAGTCCTGTGAGTCGTTTCTCATAGTTGAAGGGGATTTGGCAAATGCAGACAGCAGAAAGGGGAAGGATGCAAAGTAAATAATGAAGCTGAAATAACAGGTTCGTATCCACAGTTTACATCCAGTGAGACTAAAGATCGCAGAGCGAGCAGATGCTGCAGGAGGCTGTTTACCTGCGGGTACTGCATGGTCTCCATGGTGCTGTCAAAGGCAGAACGCAAAGAGGCGAAGTTGATGAGCACGTCCACATCTGGATGCTTCTTCATGGCGTCACTCATGTTCTTGTACACGGGGATGAGGATCTCTTTATGCCCCCAGTAGAACTTCTGTTTGTGGTCGCCTCTGCAGAAAAGCACAGAAGTTTACTCAGAGGCTCTTCTATTTAATTTAAATGTACAATAAAGATCCGTTCCACTTACGTGAAGGGGTAAACCATCGCTGCGACAGATGGTTCCTCTCTGGAGCAGACGTAGTCGAAGTCCATCATGCCCTGCACTGCTCGAGTCTGCATCCCCCACACCAGGGACTTGGTGTGTTTGCTGAAGAGGGTTGTTGTTTTGGCTGCAGGGAAAGAAAAGCTGTTAGAGACGGAAACTGAAGATAAAGCAACTGAAGCTGCATTCAGACGTGGGATCCATAACGGTGCTGCTTTATCGGTCTGTTAAACTGATGGCACTCTGTCATTCAGACAAAGGTTACTTTAACGTTCCTTACGGGTTCTTTCAGAAGAAGCAGTGACTTAGAGAAGTGACGTATAATACACAATAATACACTAATAAACCAAATACTAAATCTGAACTAATCTGATCCATCCTGTCTTCATGTCAGAGGTAATTTAGAATTAGATTTAATTTGTGAAGTTACGCCAGTTACGTTTCTTGTCAATGTGTGCAATTAAAAAATATGTTGCACAAATTTTTCAGGCTCAAGATCAATAGCAGCAACTAGTGAAATCAAATAACCAGAATCACCTGTAGGCTCCTGCCAACCTGTAAAGTCACAGTTTACATCCATGAATGTCCAGATTTTATCATTAAAGTTCTGGATCTAAAATGTCATCGCTTCATCATTTTGTTAGATATTTGTATTATTGACTAGCTAAATAAAAATAAAAAGCATTTTGGCCACTAAATTTAAATCTGTCCATACTAGAGTCCAACTGAATGCATGTTTTTTTTTTTTTTACAAAATAAATTCACAAACATTTTTACAATAATCAAACCAAAAACCAGCATGTTTAGTGATTTTAAAGAGACGTTTGTATGGATCTTGTTGCTGTCTGATGCTCCTTTATTTAAGAAACTCAGAGGAAATCTTCCTGGAAGCAACAAACTGAACTTCAGCACCTGTTGTTGTTTAGTGGGTCTCATCAGCCTGACCTGTTACAGACTGTTTTCATTGGTGTAAAGTTTTATTTTTATGGACCTTTGGTTGTGTAATAAACGTTAAATTGCAGAGTAAAATGAATGAGAAAGGTGATTTGTGATTTGGGCTGCAAACTGGGGTAGTTTTGGATCAATATTGGTCCTGAAATGTGAGAAAGTCTTCCATAAATAACTTAAAACAAAAAAAAGGTTGTATGTCTGAAAATAGATTAAGATAAATGTGCTCTACATAAGTGCTGAGACTGAAAAGACCATTTCTGCTCAATACAATCACAAAACCAGTAAAAACCTCACTTAACAGTCACTTTCGATGTAATCAAGTTTGGGTTGCAGAGCCTCTTGTTGTCCAAAGAGGGAGCTGTGACACCTGCACCCAAACATTCATGACAACAAGGCTTCTATCCGTCATACCGGTGAGCAGTGCATGAAAATTGTGTGACATGAAGTGCGTCTTTTCTCACCAGCGGGAGCTCCGGTTTTCACCTTCTTGGCTGGCGAGCCCTCGACTCTGGCTTTGTTCTCAGAGAAAGAAGCTGTTCTGCTGGATGACGGGGTCTGGAAACGACAAAAAGAAAAATGATATGAATTTTTTATTTTGCTGTGCAGATTTGATTAAGTATGTGTGCTAATAAGGACGACTCTGCTGAGAATAGATCTGCTTTAACCTCTTAAAACCAGAGCTCTTGTTTGATATGCTTTTTCTTTATATTTTTTGTTAGAATAAAACATTTTTAAAAAATTAAAAAATAAAAATATATTTAAATTTTTTTTACAAATATATAGCTAGATATAATAATAAAAATAATAAAAATAACTAACAAATAAAAAATAATAAAATAAAATAAAACAATTTAAAAAATAAAATTATAAAATAAAATAAAAATAATAATAAAAATGAAGTACTGTGGGAATATAACCCAAAATGTGATGTCCACACATGTGGATGCCAGGTCTTAAGAGGTTAAACTGGTAAAAACAGTGCTTCTTTATCTTGTATAAGCTGGATATAAAGAGCAGGGCGGCCTCAGTCCTTCAGGTTATATTATGAGACATCACCTGCACACTAAGTACAGAGTGAGGTTCGTTGTTCCAGAGTTTTTTTAAGCCCTCGGCTACAGAAGTCGAGCTTTATGAAGGATGACTAACATGACTTTAGTGCTTTGAGCTTTTACACAAACTCGTAGAATTCTTAAAAAAATACAGTTTTTCATACTTCATCTGTTGATTTTTGCTGGATTCATTTACATGCAGCACCAATTCCATTTTGTTGTGATACGTTGACCTCTGTATTCGAAGGAAAAATACATGCTTCTATGTGCACACACTGCTGAAGTCCTTTGCGCTACACATTCCTAATGGCAGCCTCAGGCAGCAGCTGCACTGCACGACTGACTACAGACTACCATCAGCCCACAATGGCCTGCGATGCTCTCACACTAAAGAGCTTCTGATAATGTGGTTCACTAAAAGGACAAGACAGTGAGAAGTGAGACGGAGGCTGTGGCCTGTAAATCTTCCTCTCATTCCGCCAGTGAACTGATGATGTAAACGCACGACATCGCGGCGGCCCATTTTGTCTCCACGGAGACGGCAGCTTGTGTCGTACCGATGTGCTGCCGCTGGAGTTGAGGAGGAAGTTGGCGGTGTGGGCGGCGACGGGAGGCTGGTTGGGGATTGGCTTGTGGCCCAGCGCCATGCCGACGATGGCGGTCATGTGGGTTTCTGTGCCAAAGACGTGAATCGGGATCCCGGTGGTCTTTCCTGAGAGGAAATCAAAGAAAAAATCAGCAGGTGTTTACAGACAAAATGCCCTCAAAGCGTACAACGTGCCCTGTGCAACATCACCTAAATGTGAAATGATTAAAAACTGTATCACTGCACAGTAATGGCTCTAAGTCAAACAGTAGGTATCTGCTCTTATGTAAAACTAGAAACTAACAGTTTAGAGTTCCCCCACAGCAGAAACTCAATGCATTACTGAGATGGAAATCTTTTATTTTTCCAATATTTCTGTCCTTTATTTTTGACGAGTTAATCCAGGGTGTGTTGAGCCGTCATGGGAAATGTTGAATCTTTGGAGTGCTGCCCAAACTTACTTTTTTTTTAGTCTGTTCAACTGTAGCCTAGCTGTTATGTAGTATTTGTCTTTAAATGTGTCTGAAATATAAAGAATTTGTTGAAATTACTAAAAAAAAAATGTCCCAAAGAGTCGATGTTTTTGTCCAAAATGACCCCAGCTTGTTCAACACCACTGGACGTTTACTGGAAATTCCAAAAATGACTTGACATTCATCCACAATTTCTAAAAAAAAATGTTCAAAATCTCTAACAAAAGTCGACGTTTGTGACTTGAAGTTTGTCCAGAACAACTCAGAAACAGTCCAAAGTGATAAAAACATGTCTTTTTTTTGTCCATTTGTTCTCTGGTCTCCACATTTCTGGAGAGATGTTCTGTCAATCTTAAGAGACAATTACTTTTCACATTGTTTTTCTGCAGAAGCTCTTGAGTGAATTTGCTCTTCTTCAAGCTTCTGCAGACTGGGAGTGTCAGACAGTATTTTGATTTATCCACAGACGTCTATAAATGTCATCTCCCCATCACCTTTTACACTCATGCAGCCCCATATCATCACAATCCCACCTCCATGCATCACTGTCAGGACTATGCATTCACTGTGGTAGTCCTGAGTAGGTTCACACCAAACATGGTGAACTCCATCTGAGCCCAACAAATTTACAGCCAGATTGTGAAAGCAGTTGTCCGTGGCATCATTTTAGGAGGACGACCACTGCAGCTCTGATTAGTGGTACTGGGACTCGTTCTATACGTTCTGATTACTGCTGCAACTTATTTTTAGTTGCTCACTGAGTTTTTTTCTATCTTTCTGAAATTTCACAATCACATTTTCAAACTCCTCTGGCAATTCTTGTTAATGTAGAGCCATGATGTAGACACGCAGATAGACGCAGCCTACAGTTCTGCTGTTCACAGCTCATTTCAGAACCAAACCATATTTACGTAGATAGATTAACTAGAAATCACTGGTGGACTTGGTTTGATAAAAGATGCATTCACTTTTGTTGCATTAAGTTTCTGTTCTGGGGTCTGAATTTTCTATATAGTCTGTCCAAAGTACTTGTTTTGATTGTTCATAAGAAGAAAAACTGAACTGTTCAGCTTAGAAAGAATGCAATTATTAAGCGGTGATGTCATTTTTGATCGATTTGGAGCAAGGTGTCCTCACTTCTGTTGTATACTGTACATTTTTAAATCTTGATTTCACAACTTACCAACTTCTCCCATCACTCTGAGACCTTCCTGGTAGTTTGGGCCTCCACGGCGGACAAAAATAGTGACTTCATGCTCCTTTAGTGGCACCTGATAGTCTCTGATGGCTCGAACAATCCCCTAAAAAGGACAAGGATGTGCTCAGTGGAAAATATAACATTGAGGCTCATTTTTAAAACAAAATGCAGGTGATATGTTACCTTAAATGTTGCTGCAACATTTGTGAAGTTAGCGATGCTTCCTCCGATGATCAGAACCTTCCCTGGAGCACATTATGGGGGGAAAAAAAATAATTTAACATTAAAAAATAAAGAAAAGAAAGACCCCATAAATAGAGAGAGAGATTTTCCCACCATCCCGGTGCTTCTCTCTCGTCATCAGAGACAGGATGGTCTTGGCGTAGTCGTATGTCTGCTGCTCGCTCGGTGCTCCTGAATATTCTCCGTAATTGGCGAGTTCGTCGACTCCACCGAGGTCACAGATTGTGTCGCTGGAGGACGATAAAGCCCACAGAGACAGAAAAAAGAAGATTTTTCAGCTGCAACTATAAAAAAACTTCAGAAAAACACTCTTGTCCATACATTTTAAATTAATACCACACAGTAAACAGACACAACAGCTTCGCAGCGCTCAGAGGGAATAATTAGTCACAGCTGATGTGTCTTCACGTCACGCTTTCCTCCCCGACAGACGGCAAAACGCTGCTCGTTCCTCCAGACTCGCATCCAGGAATCTAATTTAGCAGGAAGCTGAATCTGCAGCATCAGTCTCGCCGCTGCGTCTTCTGAAGCTAAACCCAATTATGTGCAGTGGAATCAACATAACGAGGATGAAGCCTGGGGACAGTTTAGGCCAAACGTGGTTTATCTCACACAGGTGGATTCTGGTGTTATTTAGGCTTTGTTTAACCCCAAAACCTGCCAGTGAGTTTGAATGGAATTTCTTTATAAGGCAGCCAAAATTACACCATTTAGAAATTGAAAAAAGACAAAAAAAACTGATTTTCTGTTTTTCTTTAAACTAATATTGTGTCACATTAGTTCCATCTGGAAAATTAACCAAATCTGAGCTAGAAAATGTGATCTCTAATTTCAATATCTGCCAAAAATAAATGGTTTGCATTAACTAGATTGTGTAAAAAACAAAACATTCTGTGCGTCTTGGTGCAATCATGTCGCCATTGTTGTAACAAAAACAAGTTGTCATTGGACCGAATTCAGGCAACTTAACACCCTGAATACCATACCTTGTTGGCAGGTCTGAAAGGCATATTATCTTTAAAAAGAAAAAGAAAAACTGCTACCATTCCCAAAAACTCAAAGAATTGTTAGATTTTAAATGTTCTTACAGTGCTGGAGCTAATCATGTGTCGCATGACTGGCATTGCATCAGAAAATGTACGCACATCTAAGTTTAACATTTTTCCAGAAACTCCATTATTCTATGTGTCTCCTTAAAAATGTGCCAAAAATAAACAGTTTGCAGCAATCACATTCTGTGAAAAACAAAAAATTATGCTTTCTTTGGCCCAACAAACAAGCCATGATTGATTCAGATGTGAGTGACAGTCGCTTGGTAAAAATTCTGAGACTTTTTGGTTGGACTGCAGGCAGGCAGTGTTTACACAGAGCAGAGAGAGGAGACACATATGGAAACAGATTAAAAATGTACGTAGTGAAATATCTACAGTATGTATAGTCACCATTTGTTTGACATTACTGGTAATTTTAAAAAAAATGCATGACCTGTTGATTCCAGGTCTTTTCAATTTTGGTAAATTCAGTTTTTAAGACTTACAGCACTACAGGCTTGTTATTCTGTCCCCATTGAGGAGCAGGGCTTTATATTGCAGTGAAAAATGAGCCACAGTGACTAGAAATGTGACAGGAGCACAGACCCACTCAGAAACTGCTTCAAGTTTAGAGGGGTTAACTCCGCTTGTACCTGTAGACCACCGAGGCGCCTCCTCCCGCCACCATGGTCCAGATTCTGCCTCGAGGGTTGAGCAGCGTCAGTTTGAGACTGGCTCCACTCTTGGCATCAAGGTCAGCGATGTAGGCCTCCTGCGAAACAGAAGGAGGCCTGATTGCAGCTTTAATCAGAGCAGGACATATACAAGCGGCTCTCCATGTGGCTGCAGCTCATGTTTTCTGCTTTTAAAGGGTCATTAATTAGAAGTATTGAGCGGATATTCGCAGTGAGAGTGGATGTGATGCACGTCAGCGCTTGTTTGTGACAGTCGGGACACAGCTGGTGGCTCAGAGTGAAAAAAAAAAACCTCCCAATCAAAGACTCCCGCTGTCCCTCGACTGGCAGTGTCCAATTAGAGCGAACCGTCTGCTGCACAGACAGACTGCTGCAAAAACAAGCTCCCACATGCATCAGACAATAAATAAATAAAAAAACAACATCCTGTGGACACAAAACCTTTTCATTTGATTGTTTTCAGCTGCAATAGTTAATACTTATTACTGGCACGGTTTAGTTTCAAATGTAAAGTAGATCTGGTAAATTTATTCTACAAAGATCCTCATCTGCAAATATTTTATCAGGTTTATTTCTGTAGCCCATTTAAATACAACTAGATCTGACCAAAGTGATGCACATGTTAACAATCAGGCAGCAACAGAAATAAGCAGCCAATTTGGAGAAGAGAATAAAAGTGGAAATATTAAAAACAAGAATAAGAGCAAAGTTAAGATCATATATTTATCTTCTAGTTGTTAAAAAGATTTTAATAATCCTTCATCCTCCAGAAATGTAATTTAATATAAGCGTAGTTTCTAAAATAAACAAAATGACTACGGCTGCTAACAACATTCCTTTTTAAAAAATTTATTTAAACAACAGCATTTTCTAAATCCCACTGAAGTGAGGTAAATTATATTAATATATATATATATATATATACATATACCCACTTGAGGCATGTTTCCTCTCTAAAGTCAGGCTAATTAAGATGTCTTTATATGACACTTCTGAACTAATTTGAGCTGATTTATCCTTAATAATCCCACTAAAAGTTTATTTTCTTTTTAAAGCAGGTGTAGGCAGAATTTCTGACGCAAAAAAAAAATTCAGAAAAACTTTTAAAAATATTGTAATTCAAGAGGAGAAGTTTGATTTTTGAGGGGTGTAATATAAAGCTAAGTTCAACATAGCCAGACTTTGTTTGCATTAGCTGGTTCAACCAAACCTAAAGCCCCAATCAGAGGTAATAAGTATCATGATAATGGACACCAACTTTCTTTGTTAACTGGATTTGCTTCTTCAGACACATAAAAGGAGGCATTTGATGCATCATGCGGCTGTTCTTCTGCATAAAATGGACCAATGGTGTGCCACCTATTTCAGTCAATAAAAACATGATGCTCAACGTTTAGGTCTGACACCATCCCATAACAAAGGAGACGTAGAAATCGCTTCTGTTTTGGGTCAAATTAAATTAAATTAATGTTATTGATGGCGTATAAATACCAACAGAATAACCAATTTTCTAATCTGTGTTCTATCAGCTGCAGTTCCATCAGAGTAAAAGGAGCAATTCAGGACCAAACATAAAAACATATTTCTGCATTTTCTGCATCTGAACCTGAATGCAACACAACGCATACAGTGTGTGTGTTACTGTAACTGCACGGCTTCATGCAGTGGGGATTACACATTTACAGCTCAACAGGTTTGCAGATAAAATCACAGCTGATAGTCGGTATCGCTCAAAGAAAATCATCAGGCTACTAACAACAGATTTAAATCTGCAACTCTAAACCGAACCTTCTCCAGAACAGGCTGACTGTGCAGCATCTGTTGCCATGGTGATACAGCAGGTTAAAAGATTTAAAGGATTGATCTGTCACATACTCATACAGCATGAGCATTGAAACTCAAATGGATGGATCCAGAACTCTGACTTTAGACTCAACAAAGCTGCTAACATATAAATGTGGCTTCGTAGCACAGCCCTCTGATTGGTCAGTGAGTTGTGCATTTATACACTTTGATCTACTATTTCAAACATAACCAGCCGGTTAGGTCTTTAGCACTACAGCGAGCCAACATCATAGTCCTGAAAACACTGAGTTAAACCTGAAGTTACCCCACTAACCTCAAATGACCTTTTGCTGACCTTTTGGTTTTACTATTTCTGTGTGTTTGAAGTAAGTTGGCATATGCCATCTGGAGGGAAGAGCTTTGGACAGACGGATGCTGCTTCATTGCTGACACAAACATCAATAAAAAATACATGATTATACATAATTAACCTCATCTCATGTAAGTCCTACATTTTGTAAGTGTTGTGGAAGGACACCACAATAGGTCTCGGTCACAGTTTACACAAATTATTTAAACAGTTCATTGATTAGGATGAAAATAAATAAATGATGTTGTTTTAATTTGGAGATGCGGATTTTATGAAATGAAGTTACAGACGGATGTTCTTTTGTCCATTTAGTCAAAATCTAATTAGAAACGCTGAGAAACAGCCCCTCGGTGCCACTAAGATTCCTAATTTGCTGATTTACCTCCTGCTCTCCAGCCCTGGTAAGCATTTTTCCCTCACTACACAACAACACCGACTGTGTCCTGCTGACAAACTGAAATGCGATGCACCTCCTCACCTCAGGATAAGCCTCTCTGCCAAAGGGGGGAGGAAACTCCACGTCGCCCCACTTGGCCTTGCAGATGTAGTCGGCGGTGGCGTCGATCTTCGCCGCCATGTCCAGAACGTAAACTCCATCTTTTGTGACCACTGAAGAGGAGAAAGAAACATGTTACACTCTGGGTTCATGCTCGGCTACAGGTGACCTACAGCCTTCCTGGAGGAGGAGGAGGAGGAGGAGGAGGAGGAGGAGGCTGGACATCAAAGCAGCAACAAGAACAGCTGCTGCAGGGCATGAATCAGTTCCCAATTACTTCATTACAAACACAGGCTGCTTCATCAAACAGCGAGAACATGCATTATTTAACGGTTCCTTCCCTCGGTGTTAAAAATGTGGCAGAGTCCTGATGATTTTCTATAATACATTAATGTTTTCCTTCCTAATTTCCCTTTGATGTCCCCTTTCTAATTTCATAATCTGATAATGTATTAATGAACTGGTGCTGACGGTATCATGAGAGCTTTATCAGATGTATCTCGTCGCGTTATTGTGAATTTGCATGAATGAAAAACTCACCCAGAGGGTTGATCTCCAGGTATGTGAAGAACAGGTCCTCGTACAGGTTGAAGAGTCCGACGATGAAGCTGGCCAGAACCCTGCAGAGAGAGGACATCAACATGTGAAAATCGGATTTTTGGATTTGCTGCAACATTGCCAATGACATCTAAATGTTTTATTAGGCTTAGTGTCCACAAACGTTTTCAGGCAGCCAACTGTATGAGCGAACTCGTCCCCTTCATAACCAACAAAATGGAGGAGGAAGTTCTTCTGGATCGTAAACTGTCTAGAAAAGTTGGATGTAGCATCAGGGTCTGAAATGTTAAATCTGCATTATTTCTACCAGCCAGCAGGGGGCGAGTTTGACTGTATAGAAGTCTGTGAGAAAATGATCCTACTTCTCACTTGATTTATGACCTCAGTAAATATTTTTCTAATCAGTTTATGGTCTCAGTCACGAGTGTCAAGTCTCCTTCAACACAACACGATGTTAATTTATTAAATTATAGCCCCACTTAGAGAAAAATAGACGATGAAGGAGGGCATGTTTTAGGGATGTAGTGCACAGTATCCTTGGGTTCTCCATTTAGAGCCTCCTCTTTCTCCAGTTTAAAAAAAACAAAGCGTCAACAGCCAAAATGGCAAACTCAAGGCTTCTAAATAAAAAAAACATATATATGTAGACACAGTGATGTCACCCGTTGGTTAATGGACTGCCGTTTTGAAGCCTTGAGTTTGGAATTCGACCGTTTCCATTTTGGTCTTTTGATGTGAATCAGACTGAGAACCTGTTAACAACATGGTGGCGACCCACAAGTCAAGTCAGGTCCTAAAACTTACCCTGTGTTATTGTCTATTTTCCTCTAAATGGGACCATAATTTACAAAATAAACTTCATGCTGCTATTGAAGGAGACTTGAAACTAGCAATTGGAACTGTAAACTCATGAGGAAAATGTTTACAAAAGCATCTAATCAAGTCAGAAATAGGGTCATTTCATCAAACTTCTATGAAATCAGACTTCCTTTTGCAACCAGATGAGTCGCCCCCTGCTGGCTGTTAGAGTGAATGCAAATTAAAGGCACTTCAACATTAGTCTTGCACTGGTTGCATCTCATTACCATTCTGCTACAGGGGGTAAATACTTGAGGTTGTTTGCATTTCTTTAAATCAGCTACAGTCATCTTGGGTGATGCTCAGCCCAGGACACAGCAACGGTGCCCCGGCAAGATAACAATGTAGGTAAAACTGCTGGTGGACTATTTGCAAGCAGGCAGAGGAGAACTGTCAGTAAAATGGTCATTCATTGAAAAAAGAAAAACAAGCCTTCTTCAAAACTTGCCATTTTTAGCCTGTATGCTGGAGGCTTGGAGGCTGTTGTGTTATGTAGTAAAAGAGATAAAAGATTTTGAAAACAGATGATAAAGGGGGATAAGAATCCTTTGTGAAGTGGCAGCAAAAACGGTAGATTTATAGCCAGACTTAAAATCTGCAAAGTTACGCTACTTCTGCATTGGCTTCACTTCTTGGACCTGGAGGTTACATCCATGTTTTATATTTAGCATATGGTTGTCAAGATATTGTTGCCTAAGAAACAAAGAAGAAGAAAAATGCTATATGGGTGCACAACCTTACAGTGTCAGCAGCAAAAACCTCATTACAACTTGAAAAAAGCTGAATTAATCAACTGACAGAAAAGTAACCTGCGTGTATTTTGACTATTAATTATTCATGAGTTATTTTTTAAATCAAGAGTGCCAAACATTTTAAGAGCTAGCTTCCTTAATACACTAATGTTTCACAATTGTCTGGCATTTTGTAGATAAATAATGAAATACAAGAGAACTCGATCAATAGTTGCAGCCTAAAATCACAAATCAGTGTAATGTGGAAAGGGACTGAAACAAAGCAAACTAAATACAAAAAAAGCCAATTTAATTATCTCCTAACTTGCTAAACATTCACAGCATTTTCAATACAAAGCTCATGGATGTATACACTGATTTCACAGTTTGCTTCATCTGCAGTTTTTAAGTTTAAATTAAAAAGCTTTAGTTGGATTTGCATATTTTTATATTTCTGTTGTTTCTCTCTGTGACTAACAACAAAATTTTAATTTGACAGAACACAGCAAATATGTAGTTTAATCTGTGTTCTGTCATATTTTACACATAATTTGAAAACTGCATGACAATCTGTAGCAGTGGAGGCTTGTTAAGGCTGAGCTGGACACCTGCACATGAGCTGCAGAGTCTTGCTGTAAGAGAAGGAAAAATCTAATTTGCCTCCTCCCACATATGTCAAACCAGAAACATGAAGAGCTGCTGCAGGGCGGAGGGGCAGGGTTTTGTTTTCTTGCCTGTCAGCTGTGATGGCAGCTCAGAGCCTGTTGTCAGACTCCGAGTGGCCCGTTGGGGTTAAAAACTGCGACCAGAAAACCCTCAAGTGACTCAGCCTCACATGTCTGAGTCTGACGGGAGGGAAAAAGGCCGAACGCTGCTCTTGTTTTGAGCCGAGGGGGGCTGAAGAGGTGATTTCTTCAATGTCAGCTGAGTCCGGCCAGAGTGTGCCGTCACTGGAGATGGATCTGAGGGCGAGTCGCCGCTTCAGTCCCATCAAAATAAAAAAGGACGTGCTCCGAATGCAGGGGGAAGGAAAGCTGGGGGTGGAGGCCGATCGAAGCCAAGGAAGGGAGTTTGTCATTTGTCTAATGGAATGAAATGAAACACCCTCCTCCTCCCATCTGCTGCTCCCCCAACGTTTACTGCCGACATCAAAGTGTTCTCCACTCCTTCGCCTGTGTTCTCCACTTTAATTACATAATGGATCCGTTTGTTTTAGCAGTGTAGTGACGAACATGTTGGCTGTGAGAAAACGTATTCATGCATAAAATGTCACAAATTATGAACGACTTTCAGGAAAAGAAAAAAGCTGGTTTGAAAGGGTTCTCTGTGGAACTAAAAAAGGTTCTTCTGTTGCATCACTGCTTTAGTTATCTTTCTTAAACAGCTCTTCTGGAGGCTCTCTGGTTCCTCGAAGCAACATCATCATTTGAAGAATCTTACATAGAGGATGGTCACATGCTCTATGTGTTACTTTAAATCACTAAAGGTTCCTCCCTTTTATTGGGGTTATTTGGTGGCAGGTGATAATTACAGCGATTATCTTAATTATCGAGGAATCACTTTGTCAATAAAATGTCATAAATGTCCATCAGGTCCATCAAGATAGCACCAAGAACCTAAACTAGTAAATGGGTTTTAACAAAACAGATCCAGAAATGCTGAAAATTATGTTTACTTAATGGTTTTAATGGTTCTTTAAGGCACCTTTGAGGGTTATCTAAAAACCTCTCGCTGAAAAGGTTCCGTGTGGAACTAAAAGTGTTCCTGTATGGTTCTCCTGAAGGCTCTGCAGTTCAATTGGAGTCATTTGGTTTGGTGGTAATGGCGTTGTATCAGAGCTGCATGTACTACCAAATCATTTGCAGAATATTTTCTTAATTACTCAAATAAGCATTTGGGTGATAAAATATCAGCGAACAAATGTCACCGTTTCCCAAATCCCAGGTTTTGTCTCGCAGCACGTTGTTCTGTCTGAAGAACCCAAAACATAAAATGTGTTCACATAAAGATGTTGTTTGTTCTGCAAAACCAAACCTGTCCCGTGGATTCATGTAGATTTAAAAGTGCTCTCTTCTTTAGAGTTATACTAAAATAAAATAAAGCTCATGTTAACTGGGCATTATGATCTAAACTATTTGTGCATATGAGCTGCTTTTGCGATGCCATAAATGCTACAAGACACAATTCCTGCATTAACATCGATGTCCTTCACAGTTTAAATACGCAGCCACAGGACACAATCAGAGAAACACTTATCTGGGCTGAAACAATCCAATATAATTCCCAATAAAGCTCATTGTGTTAAACGTTGAGCTCATGAAATTAAATGTTGGTGCGGGAATGTTATTATAGAGTTCTAGGTTTTGACATGTACAGTCATTGTGAGGCTTTGTTATTTTCTTTCAATACATCTATCAACACTAGATAATAATTGTATCTAAAATCTGCTCTTGTGGCTCTGAGTAAACAACAATAAATAATCAGATGCATTTCAATGTTGGAGGATGTGTTAAGTCTAAACTCTGACACTAAAATGATTAATTTCACTACAAATAAATTTTTGTTTTTAGCCACCTGGATTATTGAGAACTGACATTGACCCTGAAAAAGATATATCAGATATCCTCAGATTGTGATTAGATGCAGTCAGTCTCAGACACACACAGCGAACACACTCCTGTGACTCACGCCTTCTTGTCGTTGGAGACGTTGGTCAGCAGCGTCTTCTTCACCAGGTCTTCGCTGATCTTCTCATCCACGCCGATGAGCAGCTTCTGAGCTTTGGCGTCCACGTCTCCGACATCCACCCCGCCTTCGTGGTGAAACAGCACGTGGTCGCCCTCCCGGGTGGCGTAGACGCACACGTAGAACTCCTCCTCCTGCACAAGGTAAAACGACAAAGCAGAAATAAATGTCTCCGGTGATAAAGCGTTTAAAATGCGACCGGTGGACTGGAAATGACGGACAATCAGTGCTTTACCTGTTTATGAGGCACGAATGGCTCAATGAGGAAGTTCTTGAGAATGCCTTTGGCCTTTCCCACCTGTGAATCATGGACAAAACAGGTTTCTTAGGAAGAGCTGACACAAAAAAGAGAAAGCAGAGCAACATGTGGGGACATACTGAGTTTAAAAAAAACATATTTCTGTTCTGCATTTAATTAACGTGTCTACATTTTATGGGCTGGTTCAAGGAAGCAAATCAAATAAAGTAATACAATAAAAACATTGAAACAACACATTGACATTTAAAGGAAAGAAAATGAGCTGCTGCCGTGTAGATCTCCAGCTCATTTGGCTGAAGCCGTCACTGCTTCTCTGTTAAAGGCCAACAGTAACCAGCCGAGAGCAGCCGGCCGAGGAGGGAAGAAAAAAGGCCATTTTGGAGAGTGCAAATAAAAAAAATAAAAAAAACAGAGTGATGGAAATAGAAAGGCGATTGAAAAACCCACAAGAGACTTGGGGCCCTTTCAGAAAAAAGGCGAGACTCACAGAGAAAAACAGAAAATATGAAGATTACCGTTTGTGAATGCTTCAATTTAACCAATTCATGGTTATAACATTAAGACACAAATGATGAATTAGATATAGTAAAGTGAGAAAAATGGGAAGAGACAAATATGGTTTAACGATAAGAAGGCATTTTAGTGGATGACTTCCTCCAAACAGTGCTGATCTCATGATAAGCTGCTAAAACGCAACAAGAGGCAGCGATTATCAGTCAGACAAGACACAAGATGAATGGAAATATAGTGCACAGGAGAAGTATCCAGCCCAAGATCGATTAAATGTCAAATGATTCAGTATTATACCAACAGTTAAACAGTAGTTCCTCTTATGAACCAAAAAGAAATACTGTGAAAAGACTATATTAAAAATTCAGTGCAACAAAAGTGAACACCCCTGGGATCACTGTAGCTAAACTGGGCCCACATGTAATTTCTAGTCTGTCTAACTGCATGAAAATGGTTCTAAAATGAAAATAAACAGCAGAACTTTCTCAGTTTTGGACCTATGAGCTGTGCATGTTTGCATCATGGCTCCTCATTAAAACGATTAACCAGAAAAACATCGCAAAGATGGAAAATGACACTATAAGACCAACTAAAAATCAGTGGAAAAGGAGCCATAGTACCACTAATCAGAGCTGCAGCGGTCGTCCTCCTGAAATGACTCCACGGACAGTGAAATACTTCACATAATCTCGCTGTGGAAAACAGACGAGCGGCTGGTTCAGACTTGACACAAGAGCTGTAATTTAAATCATCTTTGACAGCTCAGCAGACAGCGAGGGGGAGAGTTCATAGCATCGACCCCTTTGAATGAAGGACAAGAAGATAACAACAACCTTGTCTCCTGTTTAGTGCAAAAAAACTGCTAAATAACATCTGCTACAGAACATGTAAAGAAGACTGATGAATGTTGGGAGCGCACTCTTTGGTCAGATAAAAGAAATTTGTTGGGCTCAGATGGAGTCCAGCATGTTTGAACTACAACAGTGAATGCATCGTCCTGACAGTGAAGCATGGAGGTGGCAGTATCATGATATGAAGCTGCATGAGTGCAAACAGTGTTGTGGAGGAGACATTTATAGTTAAATTAATAAATGCTGGCTGACAAGATGACTTTCAGTCTGCAGAAGCTTGAAGAAGAGGAATAATCCAGCATGAGAACCTTCCACAGCAGAAAATCTAAAGAAAAATGCAATAAGTTCCTTCTATGGAGCCTGTATTTTTATTATAGTAAATCTAAACTGTTTATTTTTGATTCTACATCAGAGTAAATACCTACTGTTCAACTTAGAAGTGATGCAATAATTTGACAATAAAGTGATATTGCAAAGGTGTGTAAATAAAACTAGTAGGTTTGCCCACAATAAAGTAATTACTCCACTAAATTATGCTTCTGTTTAGAAGATGATAAAGACGACACAACTCAACAAGATGAAGCACTCACCGTCCACAGCACAGCACTGCATTTATATTTATTTATGGCCTCTTGCTGCTGCTGACAGTTTCATGCGACCTGCAGGAGATACATCTCTATGCTGCAGCCAGACTAAACGTCATGAAGCGACACTCTATAACTCGCCTCCTGGTTTATGAGGCACGGCGGCGTCTCAGTGCTACATCGATGGATCTTCCCTGAGTGTTTGCTCACCGCCTCAGCTGACTGCGCTGATTTACTAGCGGCAGACTAACGGTGAAGTCAGCAGCAATCGAGGCGGCTGTTTAGGCACAAGAACGAACCACATGCATCGGAGGGAAACGGCAACAAAAGGGTGAAGGAAAGGCCGAGAAGAGGAGGGAAGCAGAGGGATGGTATTGATCGGAGGAGAGCTCTTTTAAACAGAGGGGTGGGTGGAGGGTAGATGACAGCTGAGAGGGTGGATGACGTACCATCGTCTCCTTCATGAGGCGAGGCTTCAGCCACTCTTTGACGCCGTTCAGGTCCAGGTTGACGCCGACCAGACCCAGCTTCCCTCGCCTCTTTATCAGCTGGTCCGGCTTCACCACCAGCCTCTGCAGGAAGGAAACAGTCTGGATGTTAGCGACAGACATCTTCACTTCACACTTATCCAAGCAGAAAAGCTACAGTGTGTTTACAGATATAGGATTAAATATAATATTGGAGTTTTGAGAATATTTCCCAACATATTTTGGCTGATTTCTTTCATTTCAGATGTTGCTCCACCGTCTCATGTTTTGTTCAGAGTTCATACATTTGTTTTTTGAGATCAAAATCATCAATCGAAAACGTATCTAAAATATGTTTTATGGTTTCAGATCTGGAAATTTTTGTACGTAATCCTTAAAAAAAAGCAATTTTAAAGGTTCAGTATCTCCAGAAATATGACTCTCACAGCCAACTGGCAAGGACACAGACAGAATATATTCCAGTAGATCTAAATGATTAATTTGGCTCCAGTGGACGACAAATTTTAATTATTCGCCCTTGAAAATGCAAAGAAAAGTGCAATATTTCATACTGTATATATGTTTCTTGCTGAATAATACAGTCTTTTGTTGACATTTCGCCAACTTTTGAGGCCTCCAACATCATTCACAAGCCAACGTTCCAGTTTCTTGCTATTTTCACAGTCCAAAATGTTGAAGTGGATGCAATCATAAGATGACAAAAACTGGTGTTGATAGGGGGTCTATATATTGTTTTTATATGTACAAAGTTACAAGCTGCTTAAATGTTGTCTTCATGTTAAAATTTAAAATGTAAGGATGATTTGGAATTGTTCTGGAAGCTATTTAGTCTGTGTCCTCACCAAATTTAAAGTCTGTGGGAGTTTTATTGTCTTGTTTACCTACACTGCAGATATTAAACTCCTAAAATAGCTTCACAGGTAAGATGCTTGATTGATGGTGAAATTACAAACATTTACAGACAAAACTCTCTTTAGAACAATTTTCTATCTGTTTACTTTGGATCAGAGCCGATATTTCACTTTATTTGCATCATCTAAAGTTACCTGACACCTTATTTAAATATAAATAGCTGGAAACATTGACGTTTCATATTTCAAACAGCTTTACAACAACTTTTATTATTATTATAATATTTAATGTAGGAATGACCTCAAATTGTTTCTTTTATTCTACAAGCAATATTTTGCATGGGTAGTTATTTATTCTTATTTAGTTGAAATTAAATTTCTATCAATAAAATTGTTGAATCTTCATGTACAGCATTTTTCCGAGTGCCCACAGGTGTTCCCAACACTGAAAAAAAGAAATTTACATTCATGTTTGACTAATTACTTTTAAAATATCTGCTCTGTGTAAACACTGCCTGCAGTTCAGCCTCTCTGAATTTTTGTCATGTGGCTTCTGGTTGCAGCTGAGTCACTAAAGGCTTCACAGTTGCGATGGGATGCACAGAATTTATTTGGTTTTACAAAATTGTGTCAATGCAGAAGACTTTTTTTTATGTAGAATAAAGTGATTTTGATGAAATTTTAAGTTTTCCAACTGAACGATGAGTCACAGATGAGCAGTTCAAGAACAATTTGAAAGTTGAAAACCCAACAATTCTTTCTGTTTTTATGGCTTCTGGCTCTGACGCATGGTGCTATTTTGGGTTTGGTTTTCTTTGGCAGGTTCTGGGGTTCAGAGGGGTTGAGCAAGAATCTCTCATCTCCATGTGAAGTAAATGCAGAATCACCTCCAACCCCCCCACCACCGTCCTGCTTCCTCTCACTTGTAGGTCCGATAAAGAGAATGACTTATGACGGTGGAGCCATTACAGGCTGGGAGCTCGCCAAAGGAAGAGAAGGGTTGAGGGCGAACGTTAATGCAATTTACTAATCAATTCTGCAGCGGCACACATCTCCGTGGATCTGCCCTCCGCATCCTCCTTCCAGATAAAAACCTCCAGCCGACAGAGGCAGACTGGCCGAATGACATTTGATTTAATCCAATTACCTTCTATTACATCCACCTATGACTGCTTTGCTTTGAGGAGCAGTGAGGACGGGAAGGTAAAGAACCAGGAACCTGCAGATCTTCTTTTCTTATCTGCTTTTACTTTGTTTCATTTCCACTAAGAATAGAAGAGAGCTGATGCATCGCTGCAGCTAACCGCCGCCAAGAGACCACTCCGTTGCCAGCCCAGTAATTGTCTCTATAAAGACGAGATCATTTTCCTCATGCGTAGGCAGCACGTCATAGATTTATGGTCTTTAAAGTAACATTAGAACAAACTGACTGAACTTTCAATATCCCAGAAACCCCAAAACACATTTATCTAGCTGAACCAAGGAGCGTTTGGCATTTCTGCTTTTTAAAAAAATCACAGAAAATGATTCAAATGATCTTATTTGCTTTAATTTCAGTACAAAAGCTTTTTTTTTTGGTAAATTCAATATAGATGTTCAGTTTAAAGTTAAAAATGTTATTAGCAACAACTATTTTGATAGCTGATTCATCATTTTCAGTCATTTTTCAAGCACAAGTGCCAACCAGTACCACTGTTCAGCTTTTCAGTTTGCTTCTCTTTCTCTCGTGACATAGGTCAGACAAATAAATTCAGGTTTTTAAGTGTCGGTCTGACAAAGTAAAGATATTTGTTGGGCTTTTAGGAAATGTAAAGAGAAAGATCTGGTCTGCTTCAACCTCAGCTGTAAAAGGTTCAATTTAAAAGCTAAAATTATTATCAGCAACAACTATTTTGATGATTTATTGACCATTTTTTACTAATTTTTCCAATAAAAAACTATCAAACATTACCAGATTCCAGCTTTTTAATTGCTCATCTTCAGTCAGATCAAATGTATTGAGATTTCATACTGTGGGTCTTAGGTTTTGGAAACAGTGATGGATATTTTTCAAATATTTTTGATAAAAAGATCAACCATTCAAATAGAAAATAACCAGCAGATTAATCAGTAATGAAAATAATCCGAGCTGCAGCCTTTCTCTTATATTCCTGCATGATTTTTGATGCTACACCAATTGACAAACATGTGCAGGTAGAAGTTAAATCAGAGAGGAGAGTTTTGCTTTAAGACAAAATTCTGACCTGAGTGAGGAAGTTTAATTTTTAAAAAGCTGAAACAGATCACACTGGATCAACAGTTAAAGCACTTCTTGAACAATCTGACTGTGAGCCAATTAAACAACATTTTGACTTCCAGGTGGTTTCCTGTCTCACCTCTGTGAGCAGCCATGGGTGCTCCTGAGCCAGCCGGGCGAAGTCGGTCTCGGCCGTCACGTTGGCATAGCGGAACCGGTTCTGGACGGCCGCCGATGTGCAGATGTGCTTGTAGAGGAACTCCTTTCCCGTCTGCTCGGAGATGGCTTTGGCCGACATGACTGCTCAGGCTGGACTGACCTGAGGTGAATGAAAACAGAAAAAAATCAGCACGAGAGCATAAACAGCGACGTTATTTCAGCTGCTGTCAGAACTGTCAAGAAGCGAGAGAAGTGGAAGACAGCTCAGTATCTGTGTGTAACGGGGGTGATATTAAATAAATAACTGATGCAATTCCACTGCTGTGGATTAAGGGAGATGGCAGATTCTGCAGATTCAGGTCTTCTATCCTTTTGCACAGTCACATCTCCTTTTTGTCTCCTGCTCAACCCACCGCAGTGACGCCAGTGAAGCTAAATCTAATGTGATCAGTCTGGGTTTGTTTGATCTCTACGCTAATGAGGTGATGGATACAACAGAGCACCCCTGTACAAAATCCCTTAAATGTCAAATGGTATCACTTCTCAATATTTCCTTTAATTCAACGTTAAACAGTTGAGTATTTCCTCTAATGAACCATCAAAAACACAAACTTTAAAATGTTGAAAATTCAGGCCCCAAAGCAGAAACTCAACAAAAGTGAATCCACCTGTGATCACTGTCACTAAACTGAGTCCACCTTGATCTCCAGTCAGCCTATCTGCGTGAACATGGTTCTAAAATGAGCTACGAACACCAGAACCTTCCCAGTTTTGAACCTACAAGCGTTGTCTATCTGCATGTCTGCATCATGGCTCCACATGGAAAAGAACAGCTCGGGAATTATACAAGTCAGAGACTTTACAAAGACGGAAAAGGACACAAGAAGATCAATGAAAAATCAACAGTTGCAGCAGTAATCAGGAGGTACAGAAGGAGCCATCGTACCACTAATCAGAGCTGCAGTGGTCGTCCTTATATTAAATGACTCCACGGACAGTGAACTTCTTTCACAATCTAACTCTGAAAACACAGACAGCCGCAGCTTCAGACTTGGCACAGGGTTTATCAGTGGGAATCAGAGTTTCTGTAAAGCTCAGATAATGAGAGGACGATGTAAATGTCAACCTCTATGTATGGCTTTTTTGGTCTTTGGCACAAAACCCCAAGATGAGACTTTGATAAAGAACATGAAGGAGCAAAGAATGATGTGCAATAACTCTTTCTATGTGCAATAATTCAACTGTAGGTAAATGGTAGTATTATCATTACACTGTGTACACATAAACAAGAGCAGAATGTACATTTATATTTTGTGTTTGGACATATTTTATTTCATATTAATACTTACTGAAGTTTTTCTGATTCTGATTAAAAGAAGCCTGATGAATGTTGGGAACATATTCACTGGTCAAATGAGACCAAGATAAATTTGTTGGGCTCAGATGGAGTCCAGCATGTTTGGTGTGAACCTGATCAGGACGACCACAGTGGATCCATAGTCCTGACAGTGAAGCACGGAGGTGGGAGTGTGATGATATGGGGCTGCATGAGTGGAAAAGGAGTTGGGGAGATTTTTTAACTTTAACTCTACTGTTCAACTTAGAAGTAATACAATCCCTGTGATGTGGTGCAATTTAGAACCATTTAAGTGACACTACACAGGAGTGTACACATTTCTGCTGTAAGCCGTATTTGCTAATTAAACAACCACATCCTGCTGAAGCTGCAGCACAGTGCAGGTGTTCGTACGTGCACTGGAGCCGTGAACCTACACATCATCATTAGCACACATTAGACACGTGTGTGATAAGGAAGGAATTTAGAGCGACTTTCTGCCACCGTGACGGAAGTAGAGCGAGAAACTCAATAACCAGTAAAAGCATCTGTAAGTTTTACAGCTGATGGGTGGAGCTGTGACCTTTGGAGCTTCAGCCACAACGAGGTCAAACGGGATCAACACTCACAACACGGCACCAGCGTCTGCATTTATTAAAGGGATATTCAGGTGTTTCATCCTGTGATGCACCAACACAGCAGATGTTAAAGCCAAGTAGAGGTAAATTTAGCATTTCCAGCACCAAAAGGAGAAGAACTGAGAATAAAAACTCGCTTTGTTGACCTGTGTTTCATTTACGCGAGCATTAATGGTCATTTTAGTTCATCAAATAATCAGAAATAACATGAAAATGCCTCTTTTTTCTCTCCAATCAATAAGCTGTACACTGATCACGATTACTTTTGTGGTCAGTCGCCTCCAAAATGTTTAATCTGAGCCAAGAACAAAAAAAAACCCGAGAGCCTCATTAATCTCTCTGCAGGAGCAACCTCAGACATGAAATAGACTCTCCAGGAAACTAAGATCAGGAAACACAGGTGACTTGTTTACAACTGGAATCACATCACCTGCAAAGACGTGACGCAGCCAGAAAGATTGTTGCTTTACTGAACACTAAAGCATTAAACTCAACGTTATCATCAAAACTAGACTCAACATCAACCAGTGAGGTCGACTCTCACGACAGAATTTCGATAAATGTAGGTTTAAAACTGTTGATTTGACGAAACACATGATTTGTTGGGCTTTTACACAAACGTTCCCAAGTAAAAATGCAGCTTTTTAATTGCTTCTCTTTCTCTCATGACTCAATTCAAATAATTATTTTTAGCTTATCGACAAAATAAGACATTTGTTGGGCTTTTAGGGAACTGTGATGGGCATATTTAAGGAAATTTGAAGATCTGATCGTTCATCTCAGTTGAAAAACTGTTCAGCTCCTTATAATAATAAATGTAAATGTCCCATTTGAATCAGCACCAACTATTTTGATCATTTATAAATCACTTTCACAGATTTTCCCAAGTAAAAATTGCAGATTCCAGCTTTTTAAATGCTCTTCCTTATATAAACAAAATCATTTAGGTGTTGTTTTGCTGGTCTTTGACTTGGACTTGACTTTTTTTTTACATGAAAAGATGAACCAGCAGATTAATCAGTGATGAAAATAATCTTAGCTGCAGTCTTTCTGTTGGACTATGAAGTGCAGCGATAACAAACCTTTAAGTCATATCAGAGAACAGAGTTTTGCTTTAAGACTAAATTGAGCCGAGCCGCATTATTTATTTTTAAAAAAGCTGACTTCTCTGAATAAAACAGATTCTGCTGAATCAACCATGGCAGGCTGCTAAACACCCCGACTCTGGATCCCCAAAGTCATATCACAGCTTCCACCTGAAATCAATGTTGAGAAATGTGGCTTCAAAATATGGATTTGTTCACTAATGAGCTGCTGAAGCTCCTCCGTGTGTCATGTAACCTTGCAGGAACCAAGAAGCTGCTCTGCTCCTCTGGGCTTCATTAGGCTGAAAGCCCTGAAGTGGGTCCAAACGCTGCGTCTCTGGCAGCTGCTGCTTAACTGGATTAATGGGACTGTCATGAACCCTTTTCTCGTTATTGATCAGAGCTGCTTCCAGATATGGTTGATCACAAAAACTCCTCCGGCCTCCATCCGTCATATTACAGCCAAACTGTCAGAAATAACATTTACAACCAGGAGATGATGGATGGCACAAATAAATCAGATCAAGCGGACAGTGAGGCTCAGAAATCTAACCAACTTGAGCCACGTTTCCTCAACTTGTTTCATTCATTTGGAAACCGGTCAGACAGCAAATCCACTTTCTGGCAAAGCTCCAAATCAGCACTGAGTGGAAACTTCAGCTCATTACTCAAAGTTCCTATTAGGCTCCATTCAGCAGTGGATGGTGGTCCAGCTGGTTTTTACATCAGAGATAGACACTCAGAGGGATTTATGTTGGAAATCAGGAGGTAGAGTTTCATATTTACCTGCTTCGTGGTGTGTTTCGGTGTCTAACAGCAGCAGCAGTAGAGTGTTGGTGGATGTGCTTCCTCCTCTGTGGATCCCTGCTGTCTGAGCCTCGAGCTTTCTGTGGGTTTTGTCTGAATATCTCATCTGCCGATAGGCTTGGCTGATGTTTCCAGAGCTCTGATTGGCTCAGTCCACACCATGCTCTCCTGCTGCCTTCAGGGACTGTGGGAAATATGCCGTGACGGGGCTTCTTGTTATTACGGAGCAGTTTTCACGATGCAAGTGAGAAAAAGCTGCAAAATAAACCAGACAAGGCATGAAATCATCAGATTTGGTGGGAAAAAAACAAAAGAATGAAGGAAAACTACAAACATTTTAAGAGAAATGAAACAATCAGTTTAAAAAAGTTGAAATCTTCTGAAAACAGGTAAAAAGAGGCTAAAACATTAAGCGGCTGTGCACTGTTTGAGTTCTGAAATAAACTGTATTGATATAAATGAAGTTTTAAGTAAATTAATCAAAGGATGTTGCACTTTTTACTCCACTTTAGTTCTTTGGTAGCTTCGCAAATAAGAAGAACAGATTATTGATATTGATTAACAATATAAAAAGCTTAAAAATAGACTAATTGCAGCAGTTAAATGGTCCTAATACACTGTTGAATGTGTGATAGTTATTAAATATTATTTACATAACATCAGGGTAATAAAGTTTATTTGTCTACAATGATTTTTTTATGGTTTAAGTGTGTAAATACTTTTTCTGTACTAAATTTGTCGAAGCATTTTTCACTTTTTTTTAAAAAAAAAGCGATTTATTTTACTGTTGTCCTGCTTTCTGGATCTGTCTTCATTATTTGGAATTTTACTATTAAATGCAGTAAATATTTTGCATTTCTACTCGATGACACAGTCACTGCAGCTTGAAATGAAACAATAGTTCAATTCTTTGTTCACATTTTTCCACTTTTTGGAAACATACAGCAGCTCTGCACTGTTTCATTTCTGGAACAGTTTCTTAATAAAAAAGCAATTTAACAGTGATTTCATGTAATATGTTGGTTTGTCCGTATATATATATATATATATATATATATGAAATATTGAGGGAATCATTCACTTGTGACAAATTAATTTTCACAAATTAAACATTTTTATCCAAAGCTTATAAAACGTTATACAAATTTGCTGCAGATTAAAATGTGAAAAATAAGTTGAATCTTGACAAACAACAACAACAGTTAAATGCCATTAACACACTAATGCATGTGTGACAATTATTAAATCATAAAATGTAAGTAAATCAAGTTACTTAAGAATTTTTTTGAGACTCTAAATGCATTTTCTGAATGTGTTGCGCTTCCATACAGGTGAAATTTAACATTTTCTTGTATTTAAGTGTTTTTTTTCTTTGCTTTTGCAGCTTTTTATTAAATGTTGTGAACGCTTCTTCTGCACTGAATTTATGTAACCGTTTTTTCTTTTTTCTCCAATCAAAAGCTCCAACATTCCTAGACCTACATACAGTTACTTAACAAAAGTGCAACCAGAGATTCCACAGACTATCTGGAGGTTTCCTCAGAAACGCACCACTGCAGGAGAAAGCAGGACAATTATCCCCCCGCTGATTCTGATTGGTTGCCATTGTTCTTTATCTAAGCAGCAGCCAATGAGGACATCACTTCATCCTGCAGATCAGGTCTGACAGCAGTGATTCTGCTGTCTGGGGTGAGTCAGATATTCACTCGGAGCAGCAGGTCAGGGTCTTTTACCTGCCTTTGACCTCAAACTAGGGCAAAAGCTTTTATTTTGAAAGGTTCCCTGGAGACTAAAAGCATTTACTCCATCTCAAATCATTAGGGTTTCTTCTGCTAACATCTCTGATTTGTTGAAACTTTTAAAAATCATAAACTAGATTTAAAACAGCATCAAAATTTAGGTCTATATATAAAATACTTAAATAGATCTATTTTTAAATTGTCACTTCTAGCAAATCTATTTCACACATTGAAATTAGAGGCTGTTTGAAAGCATCTCAACAACTAATAAAGACAAAAACCTGAAAATTTCCCTTTAACTTCATTCAGAATCTGAAATACTGGACAAGTAGATCAAATAATCTCTAATTACAGCTGAATGGAAATATGACAAAAACAGAGGCAGTCATGAAAAGTCACATCTTTGAGCTCAAGTCAACACATAATGCAGACAACTAGTGATAATTTTGAACCACATGTAGCTGCATCTCAGAATACAAAACATCCAAATATGAAATACCTGATGGCATAAATAAAAGTTTTATTGAACCTTCTCAACAGAGCTTTTACTTTGAAAAGTTCTGTGGAGACTCAGTACACTTGACATAAGATTTAGTGACAGTGCATGAAGATTGGTGCATTTTTAATCCATTTATTTACTTGGAAACAGTCCATACACAAGAAAAGTTCAAGATTTTGCATTTTTTAAGTCACTGGGAGCAAAATATGTTGCAGATTTTGTGCTAAAGCTGCAAAATAAANACAAAATCATTTAGGTGTTGTTTTGCTGGTCTTTGACTTGGACTTGACTTTTTTTTTACATGAAAAGATGAACCAGCAGATTAATCAGTGATGAAAATAATCTTAGCTGCAGTCTTTCTGTTGGACTATGAAGTGCAGCGATAACAAACCTTTAAGTCATATCAGAGAACAGAGTTTTGCTTTAAGACTAAATTGAGCCGAGCCGCATTATTTATTTTTTAAAAAAGCTGACTTCTCTAAATAAAACAGATTCTGCTGAATCAACCATGGCAGGCTGCTAAACACCCCGACTCTGGATCCCCAAAGTCATATCACAGCTTCCACCTGAAATCGATGTTGAGAAATGTGGCTTCAAAATATGGATTTGTTCACTAATGAGCTGCTGAAGCTCCTCCGTGTGTCATGTAACCTTGCAGGAACCAAGAAGCTGCTCTGCTCCTCTGGGCTTCATTAGGCTGAAAGCCCTGAAGTGGGTCCAAACGCTGCGTCTCTGGCAGCTGCTGCTTAACTGGATTAATGGGACTGTCATGAACCCTTTTCTCGTTATTGATCAGAGCTGCTTCCAGATATGGTTGATCACAAAAACTCCTCCGGCCTCCATCCGTCATATTACAGCCAAACTGTCAGAAATAACATTTACAACCAGGAGATGATGGATGGCACAAATAAATCAGATCAAGCGGACAGTGAGGCACAGAGATCGAACCAATTTGAGCCACGTTTCCTCAACTTGTTTCATTCATTTGGAAACCGGTCAGACAGCAAATCCACTTTCTGGCAAAGCTCCAAATCAGCACTGAGTGGAAACTTCAGCTCATTACTCAAAGTTCCTATTAGGCTCCATTCAGCAGTGGATGGTGGTCCAGCTGGTTTTTACATCAGAGATAGACACTCAGAGGGATTTATGTTGGAAATCAGGAGGTAGAGTTTCATATTTACCTGCTTCGTGGTGTGTTTCGGTGTCTAACAGCAGCAGCAGTAGAGTGTTGGTGGATGTGCTTCCTCCTCTGTGGATCCCTGCTGTCTGAGCCTCGAGCTTTCTGTGGGTTTTGTCTGAATATCTCATCTGCCGATAGGCTTGGCTGATGTTTCCAGAGCTCTGATTGGCTCAGTCCACACCATGCTCTCCTGCTGCCTTCAGGGACTGTGGGAAATATGCCGTGACGGGGCTTCTTGTTATTACGGAGCAGTTTTCACGATGCAAGTGAGAAAAAGCTGCAAAATAAACCAGACAAGGCATGAAATCATCAGATTTGGTGGGAAAAAAACAAAAGAATGAAGGAAAACTACAAACATTTTAAGAGAAATGAAACAATCAGTTTAAAAAAGTTGAAATCTTCTGAAAACAGGTAAAAAGAGGCTAAAACATTAAGCGGCTGTGCACTGTTTGAGTTCTGAAATAAACTGTATTGATATAAATGAAGTTTTAAGTAAATTAATCAAAGGATGTTGCACTTTTTACTCCACTTTAGTTCTTTGGTAGCTTCGCAAATAAGAAGAACAGATTATTGATATTGATTAACAATATAAAAAGCTTAAAAATAGACTAATTGCAGCAGTTAAATGGTCCTAATACACTGTTGAATGTGTGATAGTTATTAAATATTATTTACATAACATCAGGGTAATAAAGTTTATTTGTCTACAATGATTTTTTTATGGTTTAAGTGTGTAAATACTTTTTCTGTACTAAATTTGTCGAAGCATTTTTCACTTTTTTTTAAAAAAAAAGCGATTTATTTTACTGTTGTCCTGCTTTCTGGATCTGTCTTCATTATTTGGAATTTTACTATTAAATGCAGTAAATATTTTGCATTTCTACTCGATGACACAGTCACTGCAGCTTGAAATGAAACAATAGTTCAATTCTTTGTTCACATTTTTCCACTTTTTGGAAACATACAGCAGCTCTGCACTGTTTCATTTCTGGAACAGTTTCTTAATAAAAAAGCAATTTAACAGTGATTTCATGTAATATGTTGGTTTGTCCGTATATATATATATATATATATATATATGAAATATTGAGGGAATCATTCACTTGTGACAAATTAATTTTCACAAATTAAACATTTTTATCCAAAGCTTATAAAACGTTATACAAATTTGCTGCAGATTAAAATGTGAAAAATAAGTTGAATCTTGACAAACAACAACAACAGTTAAATGCCATTAACACACTAATGCATGTGTGACAATTATTAAATCATAAAATGTAAGTAAATCAAGTTACTTAAGAATTTTTTTGAGACTCTAAATGCATTTTCTGAATGTGTTGCGCTTCCATACAGGTGAAATTTAACATTTTCTTGTATTTAAGTGTTTTTTTTCTTTGCTTTTGCAGCTTTTTATTAAATGTTGTGAACGCTTCTTCTGCACTGAATTTATGTAACCGTTTTTTCTTTTTTCTCCAATCAAAAGCTCCAACATTCCTAGACCTACATACAGTTACTTAACAAAAGTGCAACCAGAGATTCCACAGACTATCTGGAGGTTTCCTCAGAAACGCACCACTGCAGGAGAAAGCAGGACAATTATCCCCCCGCTGATTCTGATTGGTTGCCATTGTTCTTTATCTAAGCAGCAGCCAATGAGGACATCACTTCATCCTGCAGATCAGGTCTGACAGCAGTGATTCTGCTGTCTGGGGTGAGTCAGATATTCACTCGGAGCAGCAGGTCAGGGTCTTTTACCTGCCTTTGACCTCAAACTAGGGCAAAAGCTTTTATTTTGAAAGGTTCCCTGGAGACTAAAAGCATTTACTCCATCTCAAATCATTAGGGTTTCTTCTGCTAACATCTCTGATTTGTTGAAACTTTTAAAAATCATAAACTAGATTTAAAACAGCATCAAAATTTAGGTCTATATATAAAATACTTAAATAGATCTATTTTTAAATTGTCACTTCTAGCAAATCTATTTCACACATTGAAATTAGAGGCTGTTTGAAAGCATCTCAACAACTAATAAAGACAAAAACCTGAAAATTTCCCTTTAACTTCATTCAGAATCTGAAATACTGGACAAGTAGATCAAATAATCTCTAATTACAGCTGAATGGAAATATGACAAAAACAGAGGCAGTCATGAGAAGTTGCATCTTTGAGCTCAAGTCAACACATAATGCAGACAACTAGTGATAATTTTGAACCACATGTAGCTGCATCTCAGAATACAAAACATCCAAATATGAAATACCTGATGGCATAAATAAAAGTTTTATTGAACCTTCTCAACAGAGCTTTTACTTTGAAAGGTTCTGTGGCGACTCAATACACTTGACATGAGATTTAGTGACAGTGCATGAAGATTGGTGCATTTTTAATCCATTTATTTACTTGGAAACAGTCCACACACAAGAAAAGTTCAAGATTTTGCATCTTTTAACTCCCTGGGAGCAAAAATTGTTGCAGATTTTGTGCTAAAGCTGCAAAATAAAGTTTTTTTTCTGCACAGGATTACTACACACGGACAGAGATCAGACAAAACTTCAAGCCAAGTCTGAGTGTTTCAAAATTCACTATTTGGAAAGTTGTGTAAAGATTACACTGAAATGGGCTGACACACTGGATAGAAGTTATTAGAGGTTAGTGGACATCACCTCATCACACACACAAAAAAAAAAAAAACACAGCGCTGGGGTTTTATCCAGCACAGAGCGAGTGATGAGCGCCTCCTGCTGGTTCACTCCCTCAACCACACGTCCACACTGTGGGAAAATGACCACATGTAGATAAACTGACCCAGTTAGAGTGCAACAAAAACAGACGCTGAGCAAGTTACTGGAGCAAAGCATGTTTCTTTTTTATTAAGTGTACAAAACAAGTGCAAAAATAGTGATTCATAAGAGCTACACAAAGTAGGACTCACCCTTCAAAAAATTACAATCACACAGGATACAAATCAATACATGAAGTGCTTTTTAAAGAGGATAAAAGGGATCGATGGTGCAGTCTTGCGCAGTAGAAAAAGATTGCAAAACATGGACTTGGATTCACAGCATTTGATAAGTGCAAGCTGCTGAAAAAACAAACGCCAAAACAGCATTCTCCCCTTTCAAACGATGCACAGTGCAAAGATTTTACAAGGAAGGATCTCTATAGATGACATTCATTCTAATACACTTAATCAAATAGATAACTTTGGCCCGTATGCTACTGTCAACGACTTCCTAGGCTGCACACACACAGAGAGAGAGGACTGCTACTTACAACTACGCCGAGGGGGAAACTCCAGACTGTCTGCAGGTGCGTTAATGATGCATGCAATGAGAGTAGCTAGTTTATTATCACATTGGAGTATTGTAACACTGAGAGGAGGGAATCTAAGGATTACTGTGGAGCTGTGGGAGTGGAGGCGGCTACACTACGTCACACTGCAGCTAAACAAGACCTCAGCGGATCACCGGGTACTGAAAATACTGAACCATATCGACGACAAGCCCAACTGGATTAAAGGCATCTTGGGTTGTGGTGCAAATCAACGGTAAAAAAAAGAAAAAAGAAAAAAGGCACACAGCTCGTGGAACCCTATCACAAACCTTGCACACAGCTAAGTTTGAATCCACCTGTAGACCACACATCCCCCCTGCCGCCATGTTTTGCCCTTTTACAGTATGCTGCACTTTGGCTTCTTCTTCTTCTCTGGTTCCTTTTTGGTCGGCTCGGACTCCTTGGGGCCGTAGAAGCTGGAGAAGCAGGCCGGGGCGCAGACGGGCTCGCGGAGGCTGAGCAGCCACCTTCCTTCGCCGTAGTACTTCAGCGATCCGAGCTCCATCTCCTCGGCCGGCTCCCCCTCCTGGCCTTCCTGCTGCAGCGCCAGGATCTCCAGCAGGTCCAGGCCCGTCTGGACCGGCTCCACGCCCTCGGCGCAGCCCAGGGTGATGTGGGCGCGGCTGCCCAGAGGCAGGGAGGCGGCGGCGGGCACGACGGACGCCGCCTCCTTCTCGGCGTCGGCCGGCCACAGCTTCAGCTGCTCGTCGGTGAGCGACACTCGGGCGCCGACGGTGCGGGGAGTGACGAAGAGAGCGGTCAGGGAGAGCTCGAAGGCAGAACCGTAGGACTCTTTAACAGCCTGACGGGGGAGGAAATAGAGAACAAGACCTTTTACGATAATTGAACTTTATCCCTCAACACAGTCGACAATTATTCCATCTATGATCATCAGAGTTCTTCTGCTCAACCATCTGACTTCCCTCAAACTTATTCATCACAAACTCTGGATGTTTATGAAGACATCTGAAATTTTAGCTGAATATATCAAATACCTTCCAAGACATATGTTTTTAAACCCACTTTAGCTGTTTTTTCCCCCCTCACATTAAGATTTGATGCTGTTTACACAACAATATTTCAGGAACTATTGAAGATGAAAGCCTGAAATTTTCAGTTATTTCTCATCGTGTCATTGAGTCAGAATCTAGATCAAATTATCTCTGATTAAGGTGATATGAAATATTAAAAAAATAAAAAGTACAGTCATGTAAACGCAAAAGTCAAGTGATATTTTCTGAACCACGTGTAGCTGCTTGTCACTAGAAAACAAAACTAAACGCATAGAATACATTTAACATTAAGTACCTGGTGAGAAAAAGAAAACTCTCAGAACTGATTAAGTCGGTATGACAAACTTAAAAAACAGTGTGGTCTGTGTAGAACAGTTTCAAAACCTTTGCACAACAAAAAGCTGCTGAAAGTGGGTCAACAGGTTAAAACACCTCAGAAAGTATGTGACATACCTTTACAAATGTCCACTTGTGCTCTAACCATTTCAGGCATATTAGAGCTGGTTGAGCAGAAACTGCTGTAAATATTTGTTGATTTGAGATGAAATAACTTTATTTTCAGATTACAAACTATTACCTTCGTTTAGACACGACAAAGTCTGCAAATTCAAGAGCGTATCGGACACTGCTCAACAAACAGCTTGATGTTTCTGGTCACACAGTTGGTCTTTTTGTTCTACTGCATTGTGGCCAACCTGGTGCTCACACCAATACAATATGAACATAGGTTCTAAAGACTCTATGAACATGTTTAAGAGCACAAGGCTTCATATGTCTCTGCACCTTGTTGAGCACTTCAGGTTCTACCACTGTGCTGTGTTACAACTTGCATCACAGCCCAAAGCAGATTTCCAGGTCATAGTTTCTTACCACACTGTTTAAAAATATATTAACGAAAAAACGAGAAAGAAAAACTACAATTTAACCCAAAGCTTCAGGTACAAAACATGTCATCGAGCGTTTATACGAGACGCCACGGAAAACTGGACTGTCCACAAGGATGACGGCATGATTTTGTAAAACCACTGATGCCGGAGTTTAAACTATGGGTCAGATGCTGCAAAAAAGGTGTCGTGGTTAAATAACTCATGTCAGTTGAGCTACAGCTTGAATCATGTAAACACACTGACGGGGATTTCCTGATCTCATCGTGGCATCTTTTTACTGATTGTATCAGCACAGAAATAAGCCTGGTTCTTTGTTTACGCTCGCTGTCACACAGTTGTAAAAGTAGACCACAATATACAGCATGTTAGGGTTGTTGGTTAATTTAATAATCAAAAATTGGCAACACTATAAGAAAACTGAATACAGTAGATGCTTGTTCTGCAGTGAGAGTTTCAGCCAACACATGACTTCAAGGCAGCTGTTGCGTTCCCAGCTTTGTTTGAGCGTTAGTGCTGCCTGGAGGTCATTACCCTCCACAGAAGTCTTTGTCATGGCGTCCGTCACTAGCTAAACCCCCACAATGCTCTCTGCTTGCCAACATGAGTTGCCTGTAGTCAGGGTTGCTGCTTCTTTTGTTTTGTCCGTTTTTAACCGTTGGGGGGTTCCCCTTGTTGGACCACCCGGTTCTTCCACCCCTTTTTTTGCCTTGCTTCCGGGGGTTTCGGTTTTTTGGGGCGGCGTTCCTTGTTCCCTTTTAACCTTTCCTTTTCGTTCGGGTTCCACTTGGGGTTTCCCACCAGGTTTCTTGCCCCCCCTTTTAAATTTGGGGCTTTGGTTTTGGAATTGCGTTTTCCCTTTTGAGGGGTTGGTTGGTTTTTGTTCCTTTTTTCAAATTGTTTTAGATTGGAACTCTATCAGCAGGTATCTATTAAATGTCTCAAACTTTTCTAAGTTTCAAGCCGCTCAACCTAAATAAAACTGAAGTATAGCGTTGGCTCATTGTTTAACATTGCAATATCGAATTGAAATCGATTAATTATTCAGTCCTCGTGCTAACAAAGTCTGGAGAGTGAAATTAAGATTCTGTGCTACAACGTATCCCTAAATCAAATCTGACAAATGGCTTTAGAGTGGTATTAAAGCATAAATATTCATAGGAACAAGGCTCCTAACCAGACAATTAAATGGTTTCTTACCGGATTCTCTGCGTACTCTTTGGCACCCTCAGCTTTTCCATAGTTGCAGAACTTTGTAGTGCAATGCAGAGCTCCCTGGGGTTTAAAGTACTGTTCCAGGTCCACTTCCTTCTCAGCTTTTCCCGTGACTGCAAACACAAGAGAAGCAGGTTAGATTTTAAATGACAAACTATTCTTACCGGTGTAAATGTGACAAACTTTAAATATACCCACAGTCAACCAGGTGTTTCTTGAAGGCCTCCAAGGTGTCCAGTGTCTTCAGAAAGTCCATCGACGTGCAGGGAACCTTCTCCTGGACAGACGACAGCAGGAACCAGCCGAAGAACAGGGGAAGGGTCACCTCCTCCAGTGGGGCCTTCATGGCCTCCAGCTGGGCCTCCTGCAGCCCACGTCTGGTCTTCTTGCTCAGCTCTGCCACATCTCTGCTCCACTGAGTCTGAGCCTCCAGGAAGACTGCGACGAGGTGGTTCTGCACGGCGATCTCCCCCAGGCGGGCCAGCCGGTCCTGGGTGTGGTTGGTGTCGTCCACCACGATGAGCACGGAGGAGGAAGCTGCTGCATCGCTGCAGCGGGCGACCACGGCTTCGTCCAGAGCTTGGTACCCGTCCGTAGAAGGACTCTCCGGCTTGATCCCGTGGTCGTCGGCGCTGATGATGGAGCAGTGGTCCTGGTAGGCGTCGGCGATGGCACGAGCCAAGAAGCTTTTCCCGCTGCCTGGGAGGCCTCTGAGGACGACGAGGGTGCGGGAGATTCGCAGAGCGTCTTTGGTTTGCTGCTGTTCCAACAGAGCGAAAGACAAGGAGCCGGACGCAGGGGTCGGATCTTCTTCTTTCTGCTCGAGTTCTGCCGCCGCCTGGGCTTCTTTCTCTTCAGATTTATCCTTCTCTGCAGGTTGTCCATCTTCAGCCGGCGCCTCCAACTTCACCGCTGCAGCTTCGGTCACCAACACAGTCCCCGCTGCTTCTCCGACCTCTTTGGGCTCAGCGGCCACTTCGCTGTTTGCCTCCATCGTGGTTTCCAGTCCTCTCTCAGCGTCCTCCTGGCTGGGCGGTTGTGTATCTACTGGTTTAGGTGACGTTTGCTCTCGTGGTTCGGCTTCTGGAACCGATTCTGCCGATTTCTCTGGCTCCGGTTCAGGGATGCTCTCTGCCAGCGGCTCTGGGTCATTCTCTGGCTCTGGCTGCTGTTTAGTGTTTTCTGGCGTTTCAGCGTCTAAAGCTGCAACTGGGTCAGAGATCTTTTCAGATGACTCATCCTGTTCTTTGGGCGAGCTGTCGTCATCCTTCGTTTCTGGTTTTTCCTCAGACGGAGTCACATTTTCTGTGGCGACCGGTTCCTCGGTTTCTTTCTCGTTCGGGACTTCTGAGTTGTCGCCGTTCACCGCCGACTGACCTGGTTCTTCCTCAGCAGCTGGTGGGTTCTCAGGCTGCGTGGACTCATCTGGCGTCTCCACTTTTGATGCAACCTCGTTTTCCATTACAGTCTCCGAAACCTCGTTGCTCTTTTCAGCATCCATGTCGGGTTTAAAGTCCAACTTCACACACCACCACGTACCTTAAAAACACAATGATAAAGACAGAAAATGGCTTAAGAGAGCGAATTTTTCAAACCAAATAGGAAATATTTTTTGGGTTCAAAGACTGGAGAAGAGTTATCTACTCATACGCAAAACCTTCTGTACTACAACAGACAGAATGGATTAAAATGCGTCAGATCTTTAACTTAAAAAAAGCCAAAACCACATTGTTGCAATTACAAAAGTCTTGCTGCATCATATCCCGGAATGAAATCAGCAGATTTAGATGGACTCGTTTATATTTTTAGAAAAAGGAACAGTCAGGAATCTCCATAATTTGGACATAACAGGCTCTTTAACTTTATATTTAGCCATGCAGGTGAACAATCTGTGCATGAGGGGTCAAATTATTTCTCAAGTCTTGTTTCTTTCCTTGCAAACTTTGTAAAATACCCAAGGTGTGTATCCATGTTTAGACTTTATGCTCTTCTAGAGGCCAAAGTCAAGTAATTTTAAAGACTTGATGGTTGTTTTTTTTTTTGTTTTTTTTAAAGGGGTGGATCTTCTTTAAAGACTATTGTTCCAATGAATTCTGTACATGCAGGAGGTGGATATAATATAAAACTGAATACAATTGCAATGCAGCTACTTCAATCTTTCACAAGCTGTGTTGCAGCTTTGCAAATCAGTTGCTAAATTAATCCTTAACCATTCTGACAATCTGGTGATTTTCCCAGAAAGAAACAATTCTTTGACTCCAGCTTCTAAGACGTGGATATTTTCTGGTTTCCTTCCTCCTCCATGACAGTAAACTGTGGGTTGTGGACAAAACAAGACATTTAAGGACGTCGTCTTGGACATTTTTTCACCATTTTATCGAGAAAACAACTTAATAACCAGGAAGACACTCAACAGTGGAACTTCTTTGCAGCTCTTCTGTTCACATAGGAAAGGTTTGGGAAGGGGGGGAAACTAGCACAGTGTTCTTTATTCAAATTTTAATTTGAATAATGAACAGAAATGCAGCAAGTGTACAGAAATACAAGCATGTATGCAAAAATACTGGGTTCAAACTTTGCAGGAAATATTTAGCTGCGCCAAACTTTACAAGCAAACAAAAATGTGGCACCGTGGAAAAGTGTGACTTCACAGCTTAACTGCATTTTCTGTGAACAAAAAGACTAGAGAAGGAAGTTATATTCACTTATTTCTAAATGGAATCCAACTGAAAGGGGTTTAGATGATCCTGGCTACATTTATCATGAAGATCAAAAACTTAGACCAAAAAGAAAAAAGCAGCATTATTCTAAACGTCGATATGAGCAGCTGGACAATCTGTAAAAAGCCAAATCACTGCCCAGCAATCTAAATTTTTAACACGAAAAACCTGCACCGTCATTTCTTCAGACCATATGTTCTTCCAGAGGCCACAAATCAAATATTCATCAGGGTCACAAACAGGATGTTACTCAATATTTAAGATTTCAGGGTGGATCTTTCTCGTTTTCCAATGTTTTTTTTGTTGTAGATGCCAGATAAAATACACATTGCAACAGAATCCAGCCTTCAGCTTCCATTCTTGTGCAGTAGGTGTGGTGCAGTGTGTGGAAGAGGCCAAACGATGCCACTGTGCGCTTTATTCAAATTTAATTTACATCTGCCAGGGAAAGAAATCTAACAGAAGCAGCACATATGCAAAAACACCGGAGTCAAACTTCGATGCAGCAGAATTTACCAGCAAACAGGAGTAGTTAAGAAAATGAGGTCAGTCTGCACATCTACTGGAGCAGCTCATTTAGTCACATATGTAGACGTGCAGGTGTGTAAAAAGTCAAATTACCCCCCACAAGAGTCTCTTTTTAAAGATGGAAACTCCCCAGCTACTGACCATGTGATCTTATAAAAGTCCAAATCAACATTTCAGGGTGCGTTTTTTCCCACGTTACACAAATGTTTCCAATAAATCGTTGCACAATTTAAGAGAATTGTCACTTTTCTGTGCAGTAGCAGTGACGCAGCTTGGCATAATGACAGCACTGTGCTCCTCAACCACATTTTAATTTACTGAAACGCAACAGAACAGTATTTAAAACACAAGCACGCATGCAAAGAAGCACTGGATTCAAGTTCAGATGCGACAAAGTTTGCCAGAACACAAAGAGCAGTTGAGAAAATGTAGTTTTTCCTCAAATGGGCAGCCAATTAATCCAGTTAATTAGACGTGCAAGTGGGTAAAAAGTGAAATTAATGCTTCAAATTTGCGTTTTTTGGGCACTTTGTCACTTCTAATTGCACTTTTTTCACACCACATGGAAAGGTGGCCAAAAAAATCCACATTTCAGGGAGCATTTGTTCACATATTACATCATTTGTCCCAATAAATTGTGCAACAATTTAATAAACTCTCACCCTTCAGCTTCCATTTTTGTGCAGTAGGTGTGGTGCAGATGGGTGCACATGGAGGCACAAAAAAAAAAGATGGAATAGAGGTCATTATTCACATTTTCATTTTAGGAACAGAAACGCAACAGAATAGTGGTTAAAAGAAACACACACAAGGCTGCAATCAATGATACCGGATAGAAAGTTTGCGTGGACAAATTCGCTGCTCGCCACCAAACAAAGGCCAGCTCAGGGAATTAAAAAAAAAAACAACACGAGGATGATTTCTCCACTTATTTCAGCTGATTCGGTGAAGTTTTGTTGCTAAATGACTGGATTCAACCGACGTGTGAAACCACATGGTGTCAGGAAGCAGAAGGGGGAAGCAAACACAACACAATGTAGCAACAAAAGACGCACAAAAAACCCACCCCCCGAAACCAAAAGCGGATAAAAAACGCGCACTTTGACAGCTTTTTAATCTGCATTTTAAACGAGCTGCACCAAAACGCGACGCTTCTCTTCACGTTTGAAGCAAGTTTGAGGGAGAAAATGTTGAACAGAAACGTGCGTAATTGTGCGGCGAAGAGTCGCAAGGCCGCGTCCGAATGTGGCTTTAAACAAAGAAGATCGATAGTTTGGAGACGTTTGGGGAGCAGCACGTTGTGGCAGCGAGGGGACAAAAAAAACTGTTCATCTGGAAATGAGACAGCAGCTGCCACGTCTGAGAGACTCTCAGAGGAGAAGAAGAAGAAGAAGACGCGCTGCTGCTTGAAGGAGGAACTAACCCGAAGGAGGAGGTTAGTGACAATAAAAAAAACAAAAAGGAGGCTGGAGGAGGTGTGGAGCCGCTGAGGGGCAGCTTTGGTTCGGGCTGGAACTCACCGGTCGGGCTGCTGCTGCTGCGGAGGAGCTGCTGGAGCCGCTGACCACGCGTTCCTCTGTGGATACAATGACACGGCAGTCCTGGAGCTCCACATGCACCCGCCCCTCTTCAAGAGCAGCAGGGAAAAAAAAAAAAAAAAAAATTGCCGGGAGCGCGCAGCAGCTGGGCGGGGCCGCGGACACGCCCCTGACGCGCCACTGGAGAGATTGATTCTGAAAGCTGCGTCTTTACGCACAGGTCGACCACATGCAGTCATTTACTGATCACTTTATCAAGCTCTTTCTATTACTAGTTTTTAAAAAAATTAGCATTTTATTGTTTTATTTTATTTATTTGTTTTTCATTTTTTGGGGGGTGGAAGAACATGAATATAACAAATAAAATAAAGTAACAAAACACACACCAGCAGGAATAAACTGTAAATTCATACACATTAAAGGTCTTATATTATTTCTACCGTGTTTAGTGGCTTATAAACCTGTAGGCCTAAAGTAAAATATGCTTTTAACTGTATTTATTGTTCATACAGTCGTCCTCAAATGTATTCATACCCTTCCATTAAAGAAAAGGCAAAATTTATATTAGTCACTCAAATAACTAGAAACTGGAAAAAGTAATAATAAATAAAAATTTACTAAATTCTAATTTAGTGAAACAATAATCGCTTTTGAATTGTGGTTGAAAAGAATAATAATAAAAAAAAAACACACACATGTAAAAATACTGGAGTCAAACGTTGATGCAGCAGAACTTACCAGCAAACAGGAGTCGTTAAGAAAATGAGGTCAGTCTGCACATCCACATCCACATGTAGACGTGTAAAAAGTGAAATTAACACACAAGAGTCTATCTTTTTAACATGGAAACTCCCCAGCTACTGACCATGTGATCTTGTAAAAGTTCAAATCAACATTTCAGGGTGTGCTTTTTCCCACGTTACACAAATTTTTCAATAAATCGTTGCACAATTTAAGAGAATTGTCACTTTTCTGTGCAGTAGCAGTGACGCAGCTTGGCATAATGACAGCACTGTGCTCCTAAACCACATTTTAATTTACATTTCTATGCTACAGACAGAAATGCAACAGAACAGTATTTAAAGGAAACACAAGCACGCATGCAAAAAAAAGCAGTGAGATGAGCAGTGGGCCAAAATCAGAACACCTGTCAACAGGTGTAGAAGTCTGATTGATTGCAGTGATTGGCTCAAAGAGTTGTTCAACAAAATATTAGTTTACGGATCCCATCATGCTTGTTTGGCTGTTTTTTTGTTTTGTTTTTATTTCTGTTGAACCACATTTCAAAAGCAAGGTCATGATTTTTAACCATCCATCCATTATCTATGCACCGCTTAATCCTCATTAGGGTCGTGGGGGGCTGGAGTCTATCCCAGCTGACTCAGGGTGAAAGCAGGGGACACCCTGGACAGGTCACCAGTCTATCACAGGGCTACACTTAGAGACAGACAACCAAGCACACTCACATTCACACC